AATCACTTCTGGCCAATCATACTTTTTATCCACACATTCCATAGGGCCCACAACATATAATAACTTGAACTTTAATTTGATCACTTCCAAAACATGCACTGAATGTGTTATAGCTATGTATAAATTTGACCTCTAATTAGATGAAAGAAACTGTAAGAAAGTGGCATCGAAATGATAGAAGGCGAAGGCATTGTCTGTATTTTATTAGGTATTTTGAACCTTCTATAAATTGGGATCATTATATTCCAATGCATATAAATTTCAATCTCTATGTGAATTGCATCAGTAGTGTTACAGAGCATCGTATTCATGGTCAGACATGCATATACCAGTGTTTTTTCTTCATTATACCACAAATGCAATAAGGTTCGGGTTCTTTCTTTTTGCAGTCGACGTCAGGTGCCAGCAGTATATCTCAAAAGGCTGCAGTTGCCGCTTTAGGAATGGGATATGCTGGTGGAGAGGCAGTGTCAGTTATGGTCAAGGCATTCCAAGAGCGGAGAGATTTTCTGGTTAAAAGCTTTGGAGAAATGGAGGGAGTTAAAATCTCGGAGCCTCAGGTAACTGCTCAATTTCGTTTTTCCTACTATTCTTGCTACTGGATAATACATAAAGAGATATCTAATTTTTGTAGTGTAAAATAAGTCTTTTCTACCTTCAAGGTGATACATAGCTTTTCGTGAACACTTGCAGGGAGCTTTTTACCTCTTCCTTGATTTCAGCTCTTACTTCGGATCGCAGATCGACGGGTTTGGTGCCATTAATGGTTCCGAGTCCCTGTGCCGATATTTGCTTGACAAGGCTCAAGTAAGATCTTCGACTCTTCGTGCATGTTCCCTGCTGAAAATAAAAGTTAAAACACCTTAATCTAAAAACACTTGTGTGATGTTTGAGATGCTGGGCAGTTTGAAGTTTCGTTATTGTTGCATTTTATAGAATCATGAGTGGTAGCAAGCTAGAAAACCGTGTAACTTCTACAGTTGCTGCCTTCTTTGTGGTTTTTAAAGGGTTTGAGATGGGCATTAAGCTAAAAAATATGCAACAACTCACCGTAAACAATTTATGAAAGCATCTAGGTTCAGAATTCTACGTCTAAAAATAATGATTCTGATTTTTACGGCATTGAAAA